TGCCATTCAAAGGGAAACATACCATACATTCCGATATTCCAAACACAAACAAACGAAGGCGACCTCTACACGAATTCTGAGCATTTCACGCCGATCGCCGTCCATACATAAAGAGAATAATTAACTCTTCCGAAGTTATTATTAGCACCAACAGCAATAAAGTTAATAGCAGAGAAGCAGAACATGCATCGACCGCTGCAGGGGTCACTAGGAAGTGGGCGTCAAGTTGGGAGGGGCCGTTTTGTTCTCCGGACCTGGCCAGGCATGACACAACGCCAACTACCGATTCAATTATTTGTCGGCCACTAACACCTGCTCACGGAACTATTAAAGGGCATGTTAATATGTTAATATCCATATGGAAATGATTAATTAATAATGAGCGCCTCCTATTTGCGCCGACAACAGCGTGTCGAAGGAAATGAAATGAAGGTTGGTTTGGAGTATGACAAAAGGATTTGTTCCCAACTAGATGAAAATTGAGCTGCACTTTGCTAATTCTTCGATTTAGCTAAGGCATTCGAAACAGTTGATCAACATACATAGAAAGTCCAAACTAATAAAATTCACCGCGAAACATTGTCTACTACCTTCAACCAAGCATACATACTAACCTCCAAGACAGAGAACAGTATGACTAAATAAACGAAGCTTCAAATGATCCTTCCATTGTGGAATCTGACGTTCCACAAGGCACTCTCCTGGGGCCGCTCATCTTCACCATTTATGTGAGTCGGCTTTTAAAACTGGAAAGTTCTGGGTGTTTATCCTTATGGAAGTTGAAGCAGAAAACGATACATGCAATTCAACGAAGGCACCGAACTTCAATTAAAGGAAGTTGATGACAATGTTGAATATTTGGGAGTCGAAATTGACCACAACATGACATGAGATATTCATATAGGTACCTAAAGGTAGTAGTAAAAGAATTAGTATCACAACTGATCAGTATACTATGCAAAAAATTATTCTTAAGTTGTTATGTCTATCTCTAACTCTTTTGGACTGTAACTTTGCTAGAAAAGCATAATTTGCACTTTCCGGTACGCACTTTGTTTCTGGGGGAGCAGCTGTCAAAACTTAATGAGTCAAATTGACCTTTATTTCAATATTTCAGATTGTTTTAGTTCTTAAGCCTGCTTTGTCAACAAAACCTAAACTTTTATGACCATAAAGCATTTCTGACTCTGACTCTGAATCATAGAGGTTAAAATTATACTAGAATTCGAGTTATAACAAGAATCTCTAATGATTTGTGGAAACTCTTTGACAATAATCGTTTAAAATAATTGGAAAGTAATTAAAAAAAGAACGATAAAAATAATATATTGAGAAAAACAAACCTATGAGGGCTAATTNTATATTGAGAAAAACAAACCTATGCAAGGGATCTTCTTTACAAACAGAACGGTCTGTTGGATATTGGACAATTATGTCTCTTAAAAATGCTATGATTCAAAATAATCATAAAGAATGATTCAACATAAACATAAAGAAAAATTCAACATAAATACGACACTGGACATAAAATAAAGCAAACACAGGCAGTGAGAACAGAAAAATTGTACACAAAAAAGTTACATTTTCCTGGAACCACATGTTTATCGTATTAAGTTACCGTAAGAAATAGGGAAATTGAAATTAGAAAAACACTTCAAAAGGGAACTGAAGATTTGGTTGAAGAATCATAAAAGTTATATCTTCTGTGATATGACTAGTCCATCATATAAATCATCTGAAATATCATTAGAAATGAAAAACTATTCCAAATATAATTTTTTCAAAATGTATATTATATAACAACATGTCAGGCAACCAATATTAACTTCATTCACATTTTTCAGTGGGTTTTTTTAGTCTTTCATTTCAGTTAAAATTCTCATAAAAGACAAGGAAATCATTGAAATATATTAATAACGCATAGATGTTAATTTCCTTGACGTCAGTTTCATCGCTGTCAATTTTATCCCTGTTCGTAGGAAGCGTTTTACGGTTTAGGCTCGAAAATAATCGTCATCACCATTTATTCCTTCTGTTATCCTGATTCCCAGATAGTTTTTTCAGTGGGAAAAATTCCGGGAAAGATAGGATCCCCAAAAATATGATAAAAAAAACAATACAGTATTTTTACTCGACTTTCAAAATGTAACAGATGGTTTTTGTTTTCAGTGGTTTCTGCGTTGTGTAAATAAACTCAAATGATGGATGTGAAAGGACGAAACAAAATTCTCGTCAAGGACCTGAACAGTGTTATCACTTGCAGATTATGTGAAGGATATTTAATCGATGCTACCGCCCTCACAGAATGTGTCCATGTTTGTAAGTATAAATTCATTCAATATTCAAAGTGATGCCTCTAAAAGATTCGAGGTTTCGATTTGCGTATGTGAGTTTTATTTTTATATCTAAAACCTTAAATTTTGCTCCCGCACTGCAACACTATTCTCGACGCGCGAATCAAGTTGGCCTTGAACTGTACTGTCTTGTCACTCTAACCTCCCTGCCTGTTTATAAATTTAGAAATGATTAGATGAAAATGGATTGATTAATATGTAGATATAAATAGAAGAGAAGGGTGTTGGCAGTTCTGCTGTTTGGGAACAGGGATTATGTTGGATTCTACATTCCTTTGGGGAAATAGGACTCTTATACAATTTTTTTCGATTGCAATCAATATTTAGTGAAGTAACCATGCCAAAAAAGTTATTTTCAAATTGAAAAGGATATTTTTCAAAAGAAATTAGTTTTGGCATTTCAATACAAAAATATTGCTTCATTTGAAAGTTTACCAATTTTTTTTGTATAAAGTTGGAGGAGTGAAAGCCAAGTTATAGAAGTTTGAATTGATCTGCGACTTATGTTTTGAATAATTAGTGTAAAAACATAATTGAATCTGAAAAAAATCATTTCAACCACAATCACAACAATATTGTAATTTTTCTCTATTTTTAGTGGAAAAGTAAATGGACCCTAAATTAACCCTTATTGCTGGTCGCCTGCTTGAAAAACCAGTAAAATTTTCAGAAATACTCTTCTAGGTCGATTTAAACGCAAAGTGCCCTACTTCAACTTGATTTTTTTATCAAATCGTATCTCAAAAAATACAAAAACAAGACAAAAGATTTTGTTAGAGCTCTCATTGAACACTGTTTCTGTTGAAAACTCTCAGAGTTAATATATCTGGTCAAATCTGTTTTTCCGTTAACCACCTGTCGTCTTCCTACGAACGACAATCCTCAAATGTAGATTAAAGAGGTCTTACTTTTTAAAGTGCGATTATTAGCACTCCTAACCGAAAAACAGTAGTTTTTGTCAAAGAAGGAGTGTGTTAGTATTCGAGTTTTCTCTCTATTCAAATTGATATTTTATAACCTTGTAGTTTCTAGGGAATATTATCATTATTATACTTGAATAAGATGTTTGAACACGTTTTTTACATTTTCAGTTTGCCGTGCATGCATCCTGAGATACTTCGAAAATAACAAGACCGGCTGCCCGACCTGCAACACAATCTACAAGAAAAAATCACAAACATGTTTCAAGTGAGTATAAAATTATCAAGCGACATAAATCAAACTCTCGATATGTGGAGAACCCTTTCACCTGTCACAATAGTATGACCGTTACGAAATATTGGCAAACATGTATTAATGCATCGATAGATTCTCGTCAACTTTATTCACGGAGATTTGGCTCAGCTGTTTGCGAAATGGGTATAGGATATGTGTCATCTCAGTTACAGGGTATTGAGTTTCATAAGCACACAGACAGATCGTTGAGATTAAAGGAGTTGTGGCTGAACAGCAAAGTATTTTGAAAATAATTTATTTCATACTAGTTTTACACCTCTCAGTCTTGACTTTCTTGTTGATTTTTCTGATTAAATATTGAGGTAATACTGCTAATTGCTTTGACTGACAACTAGCGTTTTTGATAGTTCATATCTGCAAGAAACTGAATAAAAGGTGTCTGCAGGATTTCAATTGAATAGAAAACAGTTTTCATATTTAATTAGGGCTATTGATCGAATAACATATCGGGCAAATATCCTCCGCGATTTTGCTGACTCATATGCACTCTTTTGTCGAAATTGTCCATGAGCATTTTGCATAATTGTTGTTAAATTTTGTTGATGCAGCGTTGAGTTTCCTCGTTCAATGTACAGGTGGATGGGGGCTTCTTGACATACATCTTTGACTTCAAATAACCCCATGAAAAAAATCTGAAGGTGTTAAATCACACGATGTAGGTGGCCAATTTTGGACTCTCTTTTCGGCGACTTGTAAATGTCTCATGCAGCATTTCAATTTTTTATTCTAGACGCGTTTCGCTAACACCGTAGCTTCATTGGTAGTACTGATGTAGTGCTACCGATGTAGCTACGTGCATTTCGGTGGTGCTAAAGTTGTGATTCCAATAAAGCTAGACGCGTTTCGCTAGCACCCTAGCTTCATCGGCAGTGCTACCGATGAAGCTGGGCGCGTTTCGCTAATACCGTAGCTTCATCGTTGGTGCTAAGGTTGTGCTTCCTATTAAACTAAACGCATTTCGATAACACTCTCACTTCATCGGTAGTGCTTCCGACTAAGCTAGACGCGTTTCGTTAGCACCCTAGCTTCATCGGCATTACTACCGATGAAGCTGGACGCGTTTCGCTAAGACGTGTTTCGTGTGCATAACTTATATCGATAGTGCTTCCTGTTAAGCTAGGCGCGTTATGCTAGCACCATAGTTTCATCGGTTGTGATACCGATGAAGCTAGACGCGTTTCGCTAACACCTAGCTTCAACGGTAGTTTTGAAGGTTGTGCTTCCCATTAAGCTAGAAGTTTCGTTTCGCTAATACCGTAGCTTCGAAGATAGTGCAAAGGTTGTGTTTCCGATTAAGCTAGACGTGTTTCGCTAACACCCTAGTTTCATCGACAGTGCTACCGATGAAGATAGACGTGTATCGCTAACACCGTAGCTTCATCGGTAGTGCTAAGATTGTGTTTTCGATTAAGCTAGACATGTTTCGCTAACACCGTAGCTTTATCGGTGGTGCTAAGGTAGTGCTACAGATGAAGCTAGACGCTTTTTGATAACACTGTAGCTTCATCGGTGGTGCTAAGGTTGTGCTTCCTATTAAGCTAGACGCGTTTCGATAACACCCTAGCTTCATCGGCATTGCTACCGATGAAGCTGGACGCGTTTCGCTAAGACGTGTTTCGTGTGCATAACTTATATCGATAGTGCTTCCTGTTAAGCTAGACGCGTTATGCTACTACCATAGTTTCATCGGTAGTGATACCGATGAAGCTAGATGCGTTTCGCTAACACCTAGCTTCATCGGTAGTGTTGAAGGTTGTGCTTCCTATTAAGCTAGAAGTTTCGTTTCGCTAATACCGTAGCTTCGTAGATAGTGCAAAAGTTGTGTTTCCGATTAAGCTAGACGTGTTTCGCTAACACCATAGTTTCATCGACAGTGCTACCGATGAAGATAGACGTGTATCGCTAACACCGTAGCTTCAACGGTGGTGCTAAGATTGTGTTTTCGATTAAGCTAGATGTGTTTCGCTAACACCATAGCTTTATCGGTGGTGCTAAGGTAGTGCTACAGATGAAGCTAGACGCGTTTTGCTAACACTGTAGCTTCATCGGTAGTGTTGAAGGTTGTGCTTCCTATTAAGCTAGAAGTTTCGTTTTGCTAATACCGTAGCTTCGTAGATAGTGCTAAGGTTGTGTTTCCGATTAAGCTAGACGTGTTTCGCTAACACCGTAGTCTCATCGGAAATGCTACCTATGACGCTTGATGCGTTTCGCAGCTTCATCGTTAGTGCTAAGGTTGTGCTTCTGATGAAGCTTGACGCAGTTCGCTACCGATGAAGATACGGTATTCTCAAAAATTTGCCACAAATGCAACGATTTATAAAAAAAAAGCAATTTTGAAGTTCTCTGTACGCGTTTTCCAAACTGGGGTGTTTATGTCCACTTTTTCTTTCTGACTCTCCGCCGAAACTTTTCCGCTCAACCCTCGTATCTACAAATTTCAGGTGTTTCCAGTCGTTCAACGTTTCGGCTTCGACTTTGAAGCCATTTTCAAGAAGGTATGACTACACTAAGGTCTCAATCTGCCTACTCCCCAGGTAGTGACACGCAAGGGTTTTGTGACTTGACACTGAGGTCTCAATCTGCCTACTCGCCAGGTCACGCTGTACATTACATTTCGATATGGTATAGAGATATAATCATCATTAACAACGAAGCTACTGGCACTGATAAAAGACCTGTTCCTACAACTATAAACAGCCATTGAATCACTAAGCAAGCTTTTCAGGCGTTTCCAGTCGTTCAACGTTTCGGCTTCGACTTTGAAGCCATTTTCAAGAAGGTATGACTACACTAAGGTCTCAATCTGCCTACTCCTCAGGTAGTGACACGCTTTAAGGGTTTTGTGACTTGACGCCGAGGTCTCAATCTGCCTACTCGCCAGGTCTCGCTGTACATTACATTTCGATATGGTATAGAGATATAATCATCATTAACAACGAAGCTACTGGCACTGACGAAAGACCTGTTCCTATAACTATAAACAGCCATTGAATCACTAAGCAAGCTTTTCAGGCGTTTCCAGTCGTTCAACGTTTCGGCTGCGACTTTGAAGCCATTTTCAAGAAGGTATGACTACACTAAGGTCTCAATCTGCCTACTCCTCAGGTAGTGACACGCCTTAAGGGTTTTGTGACTTAACACCAAGGTCTCAATCTGCCTACTCCTCAGGTCTTGTCACTGGTCTCCGCAAGGTTCTCATATAAATATTCGGAAAAGGTCCTGCGGTCAGCAATCTGGTAATCTGAAGTGCGGATTGAACCGCATCTAGTGTTTTCAACGTCAAACAACTGAAAACAGCATACTTATTGTGTTTTTTATTATTTGACGTTTTGACTTCGACTTTGAAGCTATTTTCAAGAAGGTGCGGCTCACTGGGGCCTCAGTCTGCTTACTCTTCGGGTAGTGGCACGCTTCAAATGTTTTGTGACTTGACGCTGAGGTCTCAATCTGTCTAATCTCCAGATAAAACTGTGTTTGATTTTCCTCTTGAAGATGATCACTAGGTGTTAAAATAATGCTTTGGTATTGGGAAAAAACTCCAGTAAAAGATATGTTTGGGTGTTGGTTTTCATACTTCAGCCGTCAATGCATCTCAGCCAGAAACAACTGGTGTATAGTCATTTGGGAGATTTTTCTTACCCTTCCTGAGTTTAAGCTGAATTCAAACGATCTTTCAACAAGACAAAGACTATTTCATCAAGATCAAACTATTTTTTGATATTGAGTTGTTTTTCCCTGAAAATTTTTTGCCAAAAAAATTATCCTATCAAATTTGTCTATTTCTAGTGTCGAAATAACCAATGAAACCATCATTACACTGATAACTACCCATGGATAGTTTTCACGGGTAGTTATCACTTATGTCATGACATTGCTAAGCAACCAACACAATAAAGTTGTTTGACATTTCAGTAATTCAATTTATTTCGAAAATGTCACTTCCTCGCTTTGGTGTTCAAAATGATGCGGCAATTGACAAAATCATTGAAGAAAATACACCAAAAAATACTGTCAATAGTAAAAAATACACTTGGAAAATATTTATGGAGTTTTGTGACGCCAGAAAATATGAATTGGATGGAAATCGTACTCTCGAAGAGCTTGCATTAATACTCAAGGATTGGGCGATTAATATGAGAAAAAAGGATAGCACAGAGTTTAAGGAGGCT